AATATCAAGGAGTGATACATGCATCTATGTATTGCCACCTGTTGAAGAAAGTAGTTGATAACATGCCAAGACCCTAATGATATGAATGTGAATACTATGAGATAAAGCATCTCGAGAAATGAGCAATTGAATGCAAAAAAAGATGTAGGTAAAAAAATTGTTGCATTATCAATTATATTTGAATATTTGAACTTTCATTTTCCCTTTTCATCTCCTTTCAACACTATGATTCCGTATGATAAGCAAGGGCTTTGATAATTCTATGATAAAATAAAATTCACTGTATATATAGTATAGACTGGTATAGGAAGGTAACATATCACTTGCCTTCCATCTGTTAAAAAAATTTGTATTGATTTTATGCTACATTTTATAATTGATAATATAAAGGCCTAAATGCAGATATTTTTTATTGACACAGTGCATGCAGTGACCATTCTTAAAATTGAAAAAGCATAAGACTAATGAATAGTAATTTTAATTAAACTTTCTTTAAAACTCAAAACTGAATGAAGGGAACTGAAACTAAAATGATAAAAACAATAATAGAAAAAATATTAAAGGACTTCTTTACACTCTACTGTTAAAAAACAAGAAAAGAAAAAAAAAATACACCACTAAATGTTATATAGATTTTTAATGTTCTGGTATTTATCTTTACAAAGTATAAGTGTGTTATTTAGCATACATAAAAATGCTGCAGCTGAAAGTATATACCCATGCCAAAGCTCAATCAGACCCTGGAAATATTCAGTACATTTCTTTTATGAAAAAAAAAAACACAAGTGACTAAAATATTTCTTTATTAAAATACATATAACAAGTATAAATACACTCAACACATTTAAAGCTACTGTAAATGGTATACAAGGAATATTCACCCATATCACTCATAAATAAAAAATAAATTACAAATCAACTTCTACCTTGGAAATTACACAGTGAAATCAAAAGATGTATTTGTACCTGGTGTAATAGTTTGTACTTTTCAATTCCCAGCTTATATCTATCCTTTTTTATGAAATCACTCATCTCTTTACTGATTTTTTCCCATTAAGATGACAATCAAACTTAAAAATGGCAAATAATAAAATGAATACAATACAAAATAGAGTAATAATCACAGCAAAAAAAAAAAAGTAAAACAAGGAAAAAAAGCTTTGAAACTAAAATTGGTCAACATATACAATAAAACACTATCACAAGGGAGCATCAAGGAGAGCATTCAACTCCTCTTCTGTAATGTCGTCTAAATCTTCACACTCCTCCTCGGCATCTGGATCATAGTTGATTTCGTTAACCTGAAATAAACACAAAGGGAATCATTTACAGCTCTGGTAGTCTGAGTTGGTGATGAAGGTACGTTTAGACTGAACTTCAATCAACTCTGTTAAGATAATTTAAAGTATAGCTTAAACCTCTATTTGAGTAATAGACTCTTGTGAATGGTGCTGACTATTAGAAAAAAAAAAAAAAAATTCACAGATATATATATGTATGTTAGTGCGTGTGTATACACATATACATAAATATATACATATAAATATATAAATGCATATACATAATTACATACATATATACATATTTACACATACACACACACACACACACACACACGCACACGCACACGCACACGCACACACACACGCACACGCACACGCACACGCACACGCACACGCACACGCACACGCACACGCACGCACACACACACACATAGTGTATACCATATATATATATATATATATATATATATATATATATATATATATATATATATATATATATATATATATCCATCTATCTATTTGTATAAGATTTCAAATGAGATGAGTATACTATGTAGCTGATTGTACAATTGCAAATAAAGAAGAAAATGTTAACAAACTGATGTTGTGAGTACATGTGTGCTCTCACCTGTTTACCCCTTTCCTTTAGTTTTACTACTGTTTTATTGTTCACACTGTTCACAGCAATAATACTTGTTAAATAACAATGCAAAATAATTGAAGCCTAGTAATCAACTTGCTGACAAAGTGCTTGTTAAGCCATTTATATGTAACAAGAAAAGAAAAAAAATGCAGTGAATATTGAATATATTGCATGTTACCAGTACCAAAGAGTTAAAAAATGGGAAGAAAATATTTTCAGGTTGGCCCTACCATAACAAAAATGAACATATAATTATTATGCTGTAACAAGGTATATGTATTTACATACTAAACTACATGTGAAAGAGACAAAGGTAAGACCATTTAGTTTAAAACAACAGTACAAGTTTACCTTTACAACAGGATTATCCCATGCAGGATCATAGACATAAATATCTTCCTGTGTTGTGTCAACCTCCACAGTAATTTTACCATTTCCCAGTATAATGATAATGAACTTGGAAAAAGCTGTCTTCATTGCAGATTGGTAAGCAAATCTGAAAAAAATAATGATAGCTAAACATTATACTTTACTAGACTATAAAAAAATATCAGATATTAACCCAATGGCAATGGGCATGGCATGTACATCCATGCCATGCTCACTGTGAGTTTACTTTATTAACCAATTGCTGCCGGGGAAAATTAATAAAAAATGGGGAAAATGCTGTTCTCATTTTTTAATATTTTTGTGAACTATCTCTGTACATAGATGGCTCTGTTAGTCCTGATTTCAACTTTCCTTGAACTGGCAGGAAAAAATGTATTCTTACTAGTGCTATAAATATAGATGGTGTTATTTTTATCAGCAAATTAGGATAACATTAAATATTTTCGTAAGTCGATGAAAAGGGTGAACGGGCGAGACAGGCAGTACTTGTAATTGGCTCACTGGTGACTTAGTACAAGTGTAGCCATTTATATGTAAAAACAATCAAACAAGTTGACTCACAGTGGGCATGGCATGTACATACATGTCATCCCTGTCGGCAAGGGGTTAATAGTTTTTACACGTGGATGGCTACACTTGTACTAAGTCACCAATGAGCCAATTACAAGTACTGCCTGTCTTGCCGTTTACCATTTTCCTTGATTTACGAAAATATTTTACGTTATCTTATTTTGCTGTTACTAATGTTTATAACATTATAGTAATTATAATGTCTATATTAAAAATAAAACCATCGATATTCATAGCATTGGTAAAAAAAAATGTTTTTCCCGCCAATTCAAGGCAAGGTGAAATTTGGTAAGGTCACACAAAGTCTACTAATTGACTCCTTTGTGGCTAAGCACTAGCAGAGCCATATATGTGCAGAGACATTTCACAAAAAAATAAAATAAAAATGTGCTCATTTTCCCCGGAGGCATGTGTTTAATAAGAAAACGGACACAATCTTAAACACATTCTCCTGATTATAAGAATTATTAGCTTATTTTTGTTATAATCAAACACCTAATGTTTCATATATAATCTATGAATAATTAATAGCATGATAAGAACAAAAGCAATCGCTGCTTTTTCTGTTGATTACAATATCTTAATATTGGCTGAATTTGTAGATATTAGACATTCTTAATTCTTAAGCATTTACTTTCTCATTGACAATTCTGTAGACAATGTTCCAAAGTCCTATTCTCTAAACACAAACAAAAAAAGCTCTCTTGATTATTCATATACAATATTATTCTCTCTTAATTTGCAACTTCTCCTCTCACATAGTTCCCATATGCATCTTCAAAAGGGGAGGTTCCTATATCAGTTTTGATATATCCAGGCTGATACACAACTGGATCTAAGTAACAGCATAAAACTAATATGTTAACACTGATCAACTGCCATTTGCTAATTTCACAAATTTTCTTCTGTAATACTGAGAATGTCAAACTTCAAATGTATAAAATAATACAACAGTTGATGGTACAAGATTAAATATCTTTAATAAAGCAAATTACTAGTGGAAATGCAAAATTAATTGGGAAGAATTGCACTGTTCCTTCTGTTGATTCTATCTCTTTAATTCCTGAAACTTAGACTTACTAGTCTTTACACGTAAAGAAATAAGATAGAATTGCTAGTCTTCACATTGTGAAGTCTTACAAAATCCCCAGTTTCCTCAGAAAAGTCTGATCACCTGCTGTGTTTTATCTTTCCATACTAAAAGTGGAGATGAGATAAACATGTGTGATGCTAAGATGGTGCAATCAAATGAAGAAGATAAGGGTTAAAAATTGAGGCAATGGGAAAAAATGAGCTAATATGATAAGCAAATTTAGTCAGGGTGGATCTGGGAAAAGATGCACACTGTATATTGTGTACTTGTACAGATAAATGAAATATCAGGGTTTGCCAAAACAAGGGCAACCATAAATCATCATTTTTTCTATCAAACTATAAAAAATATTTTCTAAACACTTTTCTAAAATCTGCCTCTCTGGGACAGCACGGAGTATAACCTGAGATACTGAGAACTATTTCAAAAATAATATAAAATTGAACATATATAGTTTCTTTTTCTTCATATTTGTAAGCCAGTGGCATTGCTTCCTTTATTTAAGGTCATCTGATGTAATCCAAAAGAAAATTTGAAATACATTTCCATTTTCACAATTAGATCTTAAAATAGTTCTTTCAAAATGGCATAAGCATTACAGTCAAACCATTTAAACCAAAAAAGGTATGATTAAGTAACAGACTGAAACTCTTTGTGTGAAATACAAAATATCTTACCGTCGGGCAGTCATATGAGCAATCCCTCGAGAAGAAGGAGTAGTGGGAGAGAAGGGTACTTCTGCAACACCCAAGCCCTCACTACAAAGATTCTCTTTTGGCATTTTGACTCGCACCATACACGCATACCTTAAGTGATTGGGTGTCTCTCCTTCTGGTTCTCTTTCCATCTGGGGGATAAATAAAAGGAATATAATGGATTTGCTTTAATTTGAGATTTTGGTTATCTTCCCTTCACTTCAACTAATGCAGCATAAATGGCTGGCCTTGGAAAATGGATGCTTTTGGCCACCATCCCTATCTAATTTAATTTCTTGTTTGCATGAAAAAAACACACACAA